TTGATTTGTCAAGACCTCCTGTGCTTTTGATTACTTTGTGGTTTAGTTCAGTGATACCTTAACTTAATAGAGGCGCTTATTCTTTATTTCACATGATATTTCAACTTCATTCATACTATGACGTCCTACTTGCTGTCATTTCAACCATAGTTAGGCACTATATGAATTATTTCAAAAACTGCTCTAGGTAGATGGTTGATTTTGATCAATGCTGCTGTAAGAATAGCTTAGTTAGTCCTACGTGCCCATGACTTTTGGCATGGCGACCAATGATGTTTAAGTAGAAGATGTTGATCAATTATATAGTAATCAACATTATGTTCAAGATGATATCATATGACATAGCATTAACCGATGAAGAGATATAGTCTTTTACCTCGTCACGCAGTGATGCTTGTGGCAGTACAATAACTCAGTGGTGGTATTTAGCATTTAAGTCTAAGAACCTTTATACTTAAGTTATTTTATAGCACTAATCATTAATTGCACACTAACCTGATTACGTATGTAAATAGTCTGTGGTCTGAAAGCAGTGCAATGCCAGGAACAAGCTCCTCTAATAATGCAATCCATTGAAATCTCCCGAGATCGAAAGTACATCAAACTAAAAAAATGAAGTGAAATTTAAGAACTTAATTTGAAATAAAAAAAAATGTTTGATATTTCATACTGAGGTTAATACACTTCGTTTCTGAGGTGTTAAATGTAAATAAGCGAACTTAGAGGACGACATTAATCCATATTCACGACAGCAATCCTGTCCTGCAACTCGTCAAGAAGCTGTCACAATTGTGCGTGCTTCAAGTTCATCAAGTTAGTGAAGCAGTGGCTTGCGTGATGCAGTTTCTCTGAGTTGATGGTGGAGAATTTGATGTGTGAAACATGGAACTGAAAGCCTCTAGTCGCTGTCTCGTTTGCTCAAACCGAACCAGCGTCTTGCGCTGTAGACCGCACGTGTGCGACCTACGCGCGTCTAGACCTACACGCTGGACGCGTGTAGCTACACGTTACTTGTAGTAGCTTAGGTCCCATATCACGAGTATTGTTAGGCTATTCTTTAAAGCCCATGTTTAAATAATTTACTTTGCGTTGAAGTCTGGAAACTTAACGTCATTGATGAGTGGAGAGAGGCGTAAGTGGTCTTTTGTTTTATGCATATCTCGCTTGTCGTTGAATGACATGTTATTTTGTTGGTGGTGAGTTGTGCTCATTATTCAACTCGTTACTACAAAACCAGCATTGCTCCGTTTTAACTTAACAAGTTGAAAAGTTTTAACTTAACAAGTTAAAACGGAGTTAAGGATTTATGTGCTCAACTGGAGTTATGTTCAAAATTTACCTCGTCAAAACCAAACCTGCATGATTCTGTTAAGTGGACTGCGGGAAGTAAAAGTTTTTCAGCGTTTCTCCGAGCAAGAAAATTCTTTCGATCGTGCCTTCAATTATCAGTAGAGAGAATACCGACCGATGCATTTAAAGACTTGATAACACGCTCCGTGTCGTCAATATACATTTATTGAAATCAAAATCTTTGATAGTCATCGAACTTGTGCTCAGTTGCGTCAAAACCTGTGTGGAGTTACGAATTCACTTTACTTCATCGCTGAAGGATGGAGAGGACTGATATTGTGGTTATGGTTTTGACTTTCTCAATTTCCAATTATTTTTGCTGGAAAACTGAAGAAATTTCAGTTTTTAATTCCATTCGTTATGAACGAATTTTGAGCTGCCGCAAGTAAATATCAATCTTGCCCTGCCTCAGCAAATGCCAACTTACCAAGGCTACTTACGCATATAAATATCATAGAATACCTTTCTCTGGCACGAGATTTTTTGTTCTGTTTTATTTTGTTGGAGAAATATTAGGTCAATTGTGTAATTACTTATTTTTTAACGCTTGCTGTTAATAATTGTGGCGTTTGCTCAATTGCATTATTACCGCTTGATACTTTTCTGCCACTCTCATTTCAGTTCGTCTCATTTGGACGCTAATATAGAAAGGTCGAGGTATTTTTGTCGCATCCGTGTTTCAAAGGGCAGTTCTATGTTACAAGGTAAATAACCAGGAACTGCTAATGAGCTCTGCTTCAAACTCGATTGTTTGGACCGCGCTTCTCATTACTATGAGTTATCTAGTTGTTTTTAACATTCGGAGCTCAATGATTTGACCATTTGGGTTAAATTTATTTCTGTAACTAATTTATGTACTGTTACACAGAAGGTCTCGAACGTTTGAAGTTATTTAACTAAACTCCTTGTAAATCACGCCAATACGAGAGTAAATTAAACGAGTTTCTGTCTCATGGTGTAGGATAATTTGATTGCTATTGCTCCATTCAGGTTAGTGATTCTTTTCACTAGATCAGTGCAAGGCGCTGTGGGTAATATTTATAATCTATGATGGTACTGGCAGATCGTGCTTAATATTAAGCTTCATTATGATCGTATTAATATAATATAATTAGTTTAGTACATGCAGGTCATCTGATGACCATTTTTCACAATAATTGTGTTTGTTTTCTTGTTTGCGTCTTTCGTTTTTGGTAGGCGTTGATTTTTGTTTTTTTTGGAAGATTCGTTGTGACGTTGTCATGAAGATCCGATAAACATCGTGGAATAATTACAGCTTAACATTTTAATGACGATACGTATGGTATCGTCAAAAATAAAACAGTGATCGAGATTTTTAAGTCCTTGCATATCGTTCTTCGAGAACTTTAAATTGGGTTTTCTTAAATCACCGCAAAATTTAAGCTATGATGAATAATTGGCTTAAGATTGTTTTTGTTAAGTATATTATAAGTTCATTGATTGGTTCTGTACCTGCTTTATTCTGTGGTATTTTCAAATTTAAGTTCCAATATAATTGGTTAATATTATGTTCTATAATGAATAAATATTAGGTTTTAAATTCGAGACAATTCGTTGTTCTCATTCGATGGCCAAAAACTACCAATGTTAGTTCTAATTGGATTCCACTTGATAATTAAGGGACTAGTACGTACTAATTACAATTGGCATATTACACGCTAGTCATTCTCAATTCGGCCTTAAATTTATAGTTATTCTATTATCGGATTATGTTAGTGTATATCGGCTATCGCAGTTAGGGTGCTTACTCATTATTTGATTTATCTACCTGAACTAGAATGTAAATTTATGAATTGGTTATTAATGGGTCGTCTCGTAGTTGAAACTTATTATTGAAATCTGGAGATGGACCAACAATTCCCAAAATTTATCATCGTTCATTTCGTTTTTGGGTAAACCTAACTACGAAGTTAATAAATTTGGGTTTTTGGTCATATCCAGCCGTCTTTCAATGATGATGAGTTGTAGAGAGCGTTCATTTGGAAGCGCTTGGACATCGTAAATGAATTTTAATTTACTAATGACTTCAGCTCTGATCAGACCCTTCTTTGAAGACATTCTAGCTAGTAGTGTGTGTGTAGAAAATACATTTCGTCAAGCTCTTTGTTTGACGGTTTTGCATTAAAATAATGAGCAATGTACGTGGTCTTCCTTCATGTTCTCACGGATCTTTACAGCCACGTTTTCCGTGATCCATTATATGCCTCGTGATGTTCTCCAGCTACCTCATATCAGCGTTCTCTTGTTCGTGCACCAAATGCAATACTTGCTCATGTTATATTGATTGGGGCGCTCTTCATCCCCTGTAGTACAACTCCACTAAGTAATCGAGCTACCTCCTGTTCGTTTCAACGTTGAACGTGCTGTATGTTGAAACTTCTATGTAATCAATGTCGTCTATACGTTATATTGTTGTCGCAATTGTCTCATTTATGGACAAAAACTCCGACCAATGGACAAAAGTGCGATGTATCTCTTATTACCCGTATGACAGTCATCTACACAAAGTACAAGTTTGAACCCCTTGTCAGATGCAATCAAGTACAAGCTCACGACTAGTGCCTCTTCTTTCGTGTCACTTTTGATACTCGAGTTATTCCCGGCGAGACCAACGTTTCTGGAAATGACGCTGGGCGGGAAGTTTTCACATTGTTTTTGTTGTTATAGCTTTATTTAGTTGACTTATTTTATTGGCTCTGACACAAATACGCTGCATTTGTGCATCCTATATTAGTGAGTTTTTAATATCGAGTGCTTGTGCATTATTTCAATGTCAGCGTCTATAAGCTGTATCATCTTATTAAATTCGTTAACGTACCTCGTGCATAAACCAGTAAACCAGCTACTATTTTTTTGAAGTTAGGCTCGAAAGCCGTAAATTATATTATCAATTATGTCTCAATTCTAAGCGTCCACAAACTGAGCTCACGGCAACTGCTCGCGAGCCTCGGTCGTCGCGTAGGCTGAATACGTGCAAGGCTGTTTTGTTTATTGCATTTCAACGCGCGAGTGGCCGATGCCTCGCCTTCTTGAAACAGTGTCGTCATTTAGGTAGAGGTGGTTCACTCGTCTCTTGGTTCTTCGTCTCGCTGTCGTTAATTTATCATACTTCCTGATTGATATTTCTTCTCGATTTTAATTTCAATATATTCATTCGCATTAATAATTGACCTCATACTACACATGCTTTGCTTGAATCATTTTGTTAGTTATCAGTCGACTTTGCGTAGAGCATTTCACCGACATATATTGTGTAAATTTTCAGTAATTTAAGTCGCAATGTAGCTGATATCTGGTGCGACACATATATTACTGCTTGAGGTGTGGCATGCACCGAGTGATGTTGAAGGTATGCGGTACCTGAAATGAGATGCTTAAGAAGTCAAGTTATTAGCTTAATTTTTTGAGTGAAAGCTTCTCAGTTAACGAAAAGTGTAAAAAGAATGGACCCTATTTACTGAAGTGTACTCGAACCAGTCACCAGTTTTGGTTGTATCTAAATTTTACGGTCACTTGCAATGCATTTCCAAACAAATATTAGTTTAGCGGAAACAATGTATTTGAAATGCAATGCGAATTACGCTCATGTGGTTAGCTGGTCGCTGATAAGTGTTTGATTCTGAGCTACAATGGCCGCGGTCACTTCAGACGGCGATGGCATTCCCTGCATCCCTTATCAAAGTGCCACAGAATTAATGTTTTGAAATAAAATCTTGTTTGCATGACCTCGTCTTTGCTTTTAACCTTCTTTAGGGCGTGCTGGCGCTGCCCTGATAACAATGGCGCCCTTCGTTCTGATGCTTGCAGTTTTTAGGAGTTGATCGCGTTAATCTCTAGTTTCTTAATCCTTTGGATTAAAAAATATAATTCTCTTTGGATAATTCGCTTGCTATTGAAGCCCTTGAAACAATCACCCGAATGTGTTCAGTGCATTCCTTGCCCCAGCCCGTGGTATTCAACCTTTATTTAGGAGTACTTAACCTGTTTGTTTTCACCGCTTGGTAAATTGAGTGATATTTAGCAGACAAAGACCTGACGCTCGTGCCGTACCTTCAAATCTCCGGTTACCACGGATTTGGTTGAAAGTATTCTTCTGTCTTCTTTAACTTACTTTTTTGAGAGTTGGTTGCATTGGTTGCTAGAAAAAAGGCTCCCAGTAGAAATACGTGCAATAAAGTAGGTTCCCCTAGGTTGCCCTGGATATAACTGTTATAAAACTATTATATATGTGTGTTGTATCTCTACCGTAATACGTATGAACCAGGATCTGCACCATCAAAAATAGTTAATAGTTCGCCACTTCATCAGTCAATCACTGACGTATCTTCGAACTAAATTCACCAATTGCAGACGAGAAATTTTGCCGCTCTATTCACTTAGACCGCTACTTGTAGGTACCTAGATTGCTATGTGAACTAAATTTGCCCAGTATTCTAGAGAGTGTTGATAGTACGACCTCTGTAATGTTGATCCTCTTTAAGACGTTCGTAACCGCTGAATAACGCGGTGTGCTTTACATGGCGATAGCGAGCGTTGCGTACTGCAAATCGTGTGATTAATAACTTAGTCGAAGCATAATGTTTTTGCTCGCATTTCTCTCACAAAAGCCTTTTTGGACGTAATCTATTCCCAGATATTCATTCAAAATTAAATTTTCAACTTTCTAAATCATCGTCATGTTTCCAAATCAGAATTAAAATTCGTAGTTTGCAGTATGACATAATTCGTGAAAAATGCTAAAACATGATGAAATTTTCCATGGTTTTATTCGGGTAGAAATGACCAATCGAAGAACGAACGTATGATTAGATTATGTGTTTTCCGTTGTTCATATCACTTCAACGGTCGCACCCACTTACACTCGAACTACACGCATGCATTTTCTTATATTGCGTGCTTCTTTTATTTATGGCTTATTATTAGTTGCTTGTTCAATTAATTCCCTTACTTTAATTGCTAAAATCATTTATGATTCATTCTCCGTTATGTTTTTTTCGTTGTTACCAGTTGATCTGATTTTGTAGCATATTGCTGGCCCTGTTTTGTTGTAGCGCATGTCGGTGTAACAGTTGATGTTGTTGTGTGTGCAGGAGGCCACAATAGTGAGGGCGAAGGCGTGTTGCTTGCTCCATCCACTACCATCACCCCCACCAAATCCCTCTTGTCATCCCTCACGGTCGGTGGTGGTGGTGGTACCAAGACTCTTTTGCCACACCTTCACTTGTCCTCCTCCACCATCACCTCCACAAGCAGCACTACCACCACCACCCTCACCACTTCGAGCAGCACCAGCAGTAGTGGTACCAACTCTAGTACTACCACCACCACAACCACTAATACGGCTGTTAGAGTTGGCGGTGGACGCCCGCGATACGCTGGCCCCAGAAATTGCCCTCACTGTGGCAAGCGTTACTCGACCATCGCAGCTCTGAAGTACCACGTAGGGCTGGTACACAGCGTGTCTGATCAGGTGCCGTGCTTCTACTGCCCGAACTGGTTCGATATTCGCACCGACCTCAAGAAACATCTTGAACTCGCCCACAATGAACATTCGTGATCACCTGAACATTCGTGATCACCTGAACATACGTGACCACATTCGTACGCTACGTCTTGGAAATATGATCTGCCACTTGAGATTAAACATGCGTACGATTAAACATGCGTACCATTGTGAAGTTCCCGCTATAAATGGAAAAAAATGATCTGCCACTTGAGATTGAACTTGCGTGTCATTGTGAAGTTCCCGCTATAAATGTTTGTGATGGTAATGTTTTTCTACATTGTGCCAATTGAAAATCTGGAACTGTGCCTTAAATGGTTCTTTGACTTTGTGACCTGAGCTATGAGCTCCCTGGTGTGACATTAATGTGATGTGTAATTTGTGTGGCCTTGAGTGCTCATGAACTAATTTAGAGAGCAGAATAGAACATGAAGTATATAGGAGCGAAATGGAGCCTAGAGTTATGAGAGGACTATGGAGCGTAGTGTTAAGAACGTATAAAGCATGACAAGCAAATGACGAATGGGCTTTTGAATCTCAAATAAGTAATGTGGAAAGAAGCCTGTGTTTGCGATATTATGTAGTCGAAGTCTTACATTTTCTTAGCAGAAATAATATTTTAGTATTACGTAAAAATGAAAGTTGCTAGCTCATGTTATGAAATTTTTTTAAAATCCCTGAAATTTCCCAATAATCTTTCTTGAAGGATTTTTTAGGACATCTCCGTTGCAGATTCTATATGTCAATAGGATAGCACTAGGGATAGATAAATTATATCTTTGACACAAACGATGTACCAGAAATATTTTACATGTACCGAAAATTATTACTTCTGGTTGATAGATAACTGGGTAGGTGAATACGAAGAATATTCAACTCAGTTCTCCGATCTGATAAAAAATATCATTAGTTGAAAATGGACGCTGATAATGGCAAGTTCGTTGAACATCAATCGTAACATGAACTATACATACGAAGTTAAGGAGAGATGAAGACTGGTTTCTGCTTCTACGCTGCTGGTGCTGCTCGATGTCTTCATTTTCAGTTTCCTCTTCTTTTTGCTTCATCTTGTTATTTTCTGGCTCATGTGTATCACTGTATAGATCACTCATTCTGTGGCATCCTATATGTTACTCGTACCTTTCGTTTTTATCAATCAATATTTTATCAATGTTTCCTTCTCTTGTCACATTTTCTGTAACTTCGTACATTTCTTTTGTTGAAACGTGAATGATTTCTCCCTCTATCTACAATTTCCGGTCCCTATTTTTCCATCATAAGTTAGCACCTAACTATTCAAATCGTTATCCATAATAATATAGACCTACAAGCATAATTTTGAATAAGGGAAAAAGCTGTTACTACGAAATGAAGGTTAATGATTGTTAAAAATAGGTATTCTGGTAATTATTAATCTGAACTTTAGGTTCGTTAGCTCGCTCACATAACACTTCCTAAAGGTTTTTTAAATTCAACTTTTCATCCGGCTCCGCGATCACGAGCGCTAAAATGTTTATGTTGTCTTAAAACCAATTCTTTATTAATGAATTGTTACAAAATCGCCCGTATGATGCATCAATCGTTCAGCCCGTATGATGCATCAATCGTTCAGCCCGTATGGTGCTTTTATGACGCATCAATCGTTCAGCCCGTATGATGCTTCAATCGTTCAGCCCGTATGGTGCATCAATCGCTCAGCCCGTATGACGCATCAATCGTTCAGCCCGTATGGTGCATCAATCGCTCAGCCCGTATGACGCATCAATCGTTCAGCCCGTATGATGCTTCAATCGTTCAGCCCGTATGGTGCTTCAATCGTTCAGCCCGTATGATGCATCAATCGTTCAGCCAGTATGATGCATCAATCGTTCAGCCCGTATGACGCATCAATCGTTCAGCCCGTATGATGCATCGCTCGTTTACCCAGTATGGTGCATACGGGCTAAACGATTGTTTTGGTTTGCGCCATACATTGAATAATGCTTGGTTTTTTTTAGCCTTGAAAAGCTATGTTAACAAAGCCTTATAATTTTTAATGCTCATGTCGTTCATCGTTTCGCAGCTCGTGTCCTTCTGACTTATTTCACCTTCTTCCATAATAAGCCTTAACTCTTTTTCGGCGTTATTACTTACTGTTTTAATCTAATTTCCAATGAATATTTAAACCTTACCTTCCTCACATCACACGTTAATTTGGGGATGCATTTAGCGACCTGAGCCTCTACTCTCAAAAAAAGTTAAGAGTTCGTAAGTTCATCAGCCAATCATTGATGGCCTTTCAAGCAAAATCCACCAATCATAGACAAGAAAATAGAGCGTAGGTACTTACGTTCACTTAGCGAATTTTGAAATTTTGGCCCCTGGGTCGCAGACAAGTCGTAAATTATGTCTTTATCAATGTCTCGTTCAATGAATTATTATGTTTTGATTCGATATTTACTCTATTCATTGTGTTATTGCGACAATATACTTATAATGTTGCGCGACACTGTTATGCGTTCCGTGGATAATTAAAACTTCGGGCCATTTATATTTCATGTACAGTGAGGTATTTTTGCCTAAAGCTGTCATTTTTATTTATTACAAGAGCCCTAAACACGAGTCCAAAACTTTGAATTACTTACAAAACCATAATCATTCGTCTTCCTCTTAATTACCACAACAAAATTATTTAAAATACAAGGTATCAAAGGCCGAGTGGCACCAGACTTGCCACTCCTGATGGCTGGTTCGCTCTTTACCTACACTATCATGTAATTGTAATAATGTTTTATTGTGCTGTCTTGGAGTACAATGCCAGGAATATAGGCAAAGTTCTCAACAATATTTAAAAAATTTTCTTGCGTATTGAGTTTCGCAACAAATTCGAAACGGTAACTACGATAACGTCATCTCTATCGTGCATGAAGATTTATTGATCGTGAAGATTATTTATTGTGAGAATAAGTGAAACAAGTGAAAAATGTAATATATTAATAATGCGTGAATTATGACTCAAATACGTGACACGATCTCCGCCCTTATTAGAAAGAAGGTGCCGTCAAACTCTTGGTCTTCCAAGCGAGATTTTCTACCAGCTATTGTACAATAATTTTATACCTTATATGCTGCATAACATAGTGAATAAGTTAAGCCTATTTTGTTAACTTTATATTCAGCGTTAAGTATAGCTGTAACTTTATCGTAATGCAGTTGTAATGGCTATATACATAGCAACGAAGTTCCGTGCTTGTAAGAAAATGCCTGTACTCTTTGTTGTTTTTACAATTTTATTTTTGTTGCCTGGCGTTTGTTTGTATTTTATTTCTGCAGTTTATTAATACTTTCGTTGAGATGTAGTTATGCTTGTACGTTTGCTTGTTAGTTTTGTTTCGTTTATAACTTCTCTTGTCGCTATACCAACTACACTCAGACTGAGTTCTCTTCTGGGGGATATTCCCCAACACCGGACAAACTTCAGAAAAAAATCCTCCGCCACCCTGAGCTTTGAATCTCATCACAATTTACTGGGAAACAGAACTTCAAAATATTTTCAAAGTCCTAAATTTTCACAACCGTTTTATTAACATGCCCCTTGAACTGTTCGAAATGAAGTCATCCCTTTTATTGCCATTCCCTTTATTATTAATAACGTTTGCTCAACGCTAAGAACCCCACTACAAAATACATGTCGCTTTACTCATCGATAAATGATATACTTTTCCTAGACGTTCTAGGGACAAAACATTAGCTCTTCGTGCAGACAAGCAGGCTAACCCAGACCCGTGGCCGTACTGTCAAAGATCATTACGGATGCGTAACTCCATCCGCCAATCGTTGACGGCTTTTCATGCTAAACCTACCAATAGCAGACGAGAAATCGGCCACTACGTGTACATAGGCCGCAACGTATTTTGGCGGTACGGCTATATAGGTCTTGCTAGAGGCAGTGATTCTCATGGCGACCGAACAAAAATGACTAATCGATTTACATCCAAGAAATCTGATGCACGAAAAATATTTTTGGTGAAAAGTTTTATGCTGTTGAAAAAATTACGCGGATAGTATCAGCTTCTTGTGTTATTAATGCTTAATTTCTGGCTGGGTCAAACTCTTTATCAGGTATTGGCCCTGTATCACTCTGAACATTTTTCAAATATTCCTACATCCGTTTTTTGAAAGACTTTTTTATCTTTTTGCATTTAAGGGAAATGCAAATAATATGACTCAACTATAGATTTATCTCGATCATTCTTATTTATTTCACTCAATAACTATAATATTTATTTGTCGGGACAATATGAATGAGCGCAATTCTACTCTGTTACATCGCTTTTTAATTTATGAAGCCGATAAATCTAACAGCAAGTTTTCGGAGCTTATTTTTTATTTCAGATAATCTTTTCCTGTTGCCCCTTCCAATCCTGGTGGTAAATGAGCCGAAAAATCTTGAATATCCAGTTTAAATTTTTGACTTTGAGCCCCAGTGAATCTCTGATTTTCGACTACCTAAAATTGTCTTAATCCTCTTGCAACTGATGCTAACTCTTGTTACTAAGTCGTTAAAAACGAATATCATTAATTAATACGTTACAGTAAGTCGATCAAGAAGTATAATTAAACTCAAATGTTTCTTAGAAACTTGACAAGTTGCATGAAGTAATTTGTTTCTCCGAATCTCATAAGCCGTGATTGCACTTATGTTTATTTTTTCGTGCTAAAGATATTCTTATATATCTCCTGATATTGTTGCCGGTTTGGTAGTCGATTTGTGAAGGCCAGAAAATATATTATTCCTGTACAATTTCCGCGGTTCTCCAATAATTTTTTCTTAAAAAAAAGTTCTTCATTTGTCTTGACAAGAAGGATCGTAAGCATTAGTACCGGTATATGACACCATCGAGATGATAATAATCATAACTCTATGATAATCACTTGAATCTAGATAATAATAATCCTCACGACTTGCGGCTTAATGCATAATTGGAGATCGTCATTATTCGCTGTTAAGTACATAAATTGAGACAATAATTCTGACTTGCTTAGCATATGAGCCGAAATTATTTCGATTGGGA